GACAGTATTGCTCTGTCCCCCAGGCTGGAGTGCAGTGATGCAATCTCAGCTCACTCCAGCCTCCACCTCCTGGGCTCAAGTGATCTTCCCACCTCAGCCTCCCAAGTAGCTGGGTCTATAGGTGCACACTACAATGCCCGGCTAATTTTTCGCATTTTTTGTAGAGATTGAGTTTTGCCATGTTGCCTAGGCTGGTCTGGAACTCCTGGGCTCAAGTAATCCAGAGTGCCTCGGCCTCTCAAAGTGCTGGGATTACAAGTGTGAGCCACCACACCCAGGTAGTTCTTGCATTTTTTGTAGAGACGGCATTTCACCATGTTGCCCAGGCTCAAAGTCACTTTTTGTCACTTAAATACAGCCACAATGCCACTGCGACCCCAGGACACTCGCAGATTCAGGGAGGAGGCAAGTCATGAACTATCTTATCCTCAGGGTAAATTTGGGGGTGCCAGGAGTGGTCGAGGGAACCTGGATGTGACAGAGCAGATTTGGAGGTTGTCAGGAGAGGGGGTGAAAACAGAGTAGAGATGGCCTCAGAGTACCTGGTGGTTTGCTGGGGCTGACTCTCAGCTTGGGAGGTAGGGAATGAGGAGGAGAGACTTGTAGCCAAGGAGGTGTGAAGTCCCGTTTTTACCTCAGAGATGGACAGGAGGGATTCTTGTGCAGCAAGAGAAAGCCCTGGCATCCTTAGCTTCCCTGGAAGGGGGTGCAGAGGAGGGGTCTCTGGCACAATCTCCCTGTGCTTTTGTTTCCTCCTCTGTAAAGTGAGCACATAATGGTACCTTCCTTCCGGGGCTATAAGGAAGGTTCAGTGAGATGAGAGTGTGCAGAACGTGCAGGAGGTGGCCAGCCTGTAGTAGTCCCTGCTCCCACGTTGTCAGCAGCCCCCACATTGTGGGAACTGGAAGTAAAAGGCCTGGCATAATCATCGGGATAAATAGGGGTCCCAGTTTAGGGCAAGACTTGCGCTTGGAGGGCTCAATGAGAAGTCAACAACCACCTGCAGAAGCCTGGCCTGCAGACCCTGGCTCAACAATGGATGAATGAATGAATGCGCTCTCACACCTGCTTCAGTGATACAAGTGGGCTAGGGATGGATGTTGGCTGCTTTCAGAGGGTGAAATGCAACCAATCGACCCAGACCCTCTGTCCGTCCACACATTTATTCCGTCAAGATTTTACAACAGAGGTCCTAAGTTAACACATTTGTGGATAATTAACATGGTTAAAAGAATAGTTTTATGAAGGATAAAAACGTTAGGTTCTGGGCCTAGAGTAAACACTACCAACAGGTAACTCCCCTTTGATCTTTCCCTGAGAGGACCACCCAGCACAAAATTTACATGAGTAAACAGAGTGGAAACAAGGACAATGGGGCAAACAGACTTAACCTGGGAGGGCTTTCATCGTCTCTGTCTCTTTCCTATGCTAATATTCGTGAGCTGGCTGCCTTCAGCATGCCTCAATAAAACCTTTTGGCCTTCCAAAAGGTTTGAGATTACAGTGTGTAACTTTTCCTAATATTTAGTACTTTGCCAGCCACACCGAGTGAATATCAACAGCTCAATCCTTGTTCTTGCTGTTTACTGGCTGTGTAACTCATTTCACCACTCTGAGCCTCACTGCCCATATCTGCAACCACATGTAACTACATCACAGTTGTTTTGTGTTGGAAGTGAGATTAGAGATGTCAGATCCCAGACGCAAAGCAGTGGCTCTGACAATGCTTAGGAGTTTCCTTTCCAAATCCTCAGGCTGGAAGCTTTGCCAAAAGAAACACTGACCGGACTGGTCTCGGAAATTCAGTGAGTCATACCACAGTTCTGTACCCATTCTGAGCAAAGATTGCGAACATGTGTTCTGCAAAGCAGAATTTGTTTTACCTGTGGTCTTAGGTTTTTCAAAAGTTAGTTGCCAACATTTAAAAATCATGGATTTAGGCCTGCCGCGGTGGCTCATGCCTGTAATCCCAGCACTTTGGGAGGCTCAGGAGGGCAGATCACTTGAGATCAGGAATTCCAGACCAGCCTGGCCAACATGATAAAACCCTATCTCTACTGAAAATACAAAAATTACCTGGGTGTGAGTGGTGACGCACACCTGCAGTCCCAGCTACTCGGGAGGCTGAGGTGGGAGAATCATTTGAATTCGTGAGGTAGAGGTTGCAATGAGCTGAGATGGCGCCACTCACTCCAGCCTGGGTAACAGGGCAAGACTCTGTCTCAAAAATAAAAATAAAAATAAAATTATGGATTTAGCCTGGCATGGTGGCACATGCCTGTAATCTCAGATACGTGGGAGGCTGAGGTGGGAAGATCACTGGAGCCCAGGAGTTCCAAGCTGCAGTGAGCTACTATCATGTCTGTGAATAGCCACTGTACTCCAGCCTGGCCAACATAGCAAGATCCCATCTCTTAAAAAAAAATGTAGGCTGGGCATGGTGGCTTATGCCCGTAATCCCAGAACTTTGGGAGGCCAAGGCAGGCAGATCACATGAGATCAGGAGTTTGAGACCAGACTGACCAATATGGTGAAACCCTATCTCTACTAAAAATACAAAAATTAGCTAGGCATAGTGGCAAGCACCTGTAATCTCAGCTACTCGGGCGGCTGAGGCAGGAGAATTGCTTGAACCCGGGAGGTGGAGGTTGCAGTGAGCCGAGATTGTGCCATTGCACTCCAGCCTGGGTGACAGTGAGACTCCATCTCAAAAACAAAACAAAACAAAACAAAACAAAACAAAAACAAAAAAGTAAAACCTAGGCAGGCATGGTGGCATGTGCCTGTAGTCTCAACTACTTGAGAGGCTGAAGCAGGATGATCGCTTAAGCCCAGGAGTTCAAGGCCACAGTGAGCTATGATTATGGCACTGCATTCCAGACTGGGTGACAGAACAAGACCCTGTTTCTATGGAAAAAACAAAAATGAAAAACTATGGGTTTACCTATTAAAATTGCTTCTCTTGAAACCTTAAACCTGGCTACCCTGGACCCACATTGCCGCATGGCTTCGATGCCTGCAGCCTGATGGCCACAGTGTCTCCCCAGCACACTCGCCTCACTCACGTTGCCTGCCGGGCTGTAAGGGCACCCGAATTGTACAGTATGGAGTTTTGAGTTACCTTTCTTTGCCTAGGGAGGCTCCTTTGGCCGGGGCACAGCTCTCAAGGGTGGCTGTGATTCTGAACTTGTCATCTTCCTCGACTGCTTCAAGAGCTATGAGGACCAGAGGACCCTTCGTGCAGAGATCCTCAGTGAAATGCGGACATTGGTGGAATCCTGGTGGCAGAGCCCAGTCCCTGGTCTGAGCCTCGAGTTTCCTGAGCAGCACATGACTGGGGCCCTGCAGTTCCGCCTGACATCCAGAGATCCTGAGGACTGGATGGATGTTAGCCTGGTGCCTGCCTTCAATGTCCTGGGTAAGGGGTTCCTGGACCATTCCAGAATTGGGGGCAAAATCATTGGGAATAGCAGAGGACTTCCAGTTCTAGCCCAGCCACCGTTGCTGTGTGACCTGGGCCAGCCTCTACCCCTCTCTCAGCCTCACTCTGTGTACTGAACATATTAGACTTGTGCTAGACAAAGGCAGAGAAAGCCCACATCCTCCTGGATCTGTGGTCCTGCTGTCAAGATACTTGGTCCTCCCCCAGGCATCTGGGAGTTTCCTTCAGCTACTGCCTGGAGCGGTTACTGCTCAACCCTTCCGCAAATACTCCCAAAAGCTAAGCCAATTAGACATGTGGCTAGCAGTTGGGGTCTGGGGACAAAACCAGAATTCTGCAAAATCTTGTCTTATATCTTGAAAACATGAATGTGATTTTTGCATTCTTCTTCGTAATATACCTATGCTCGAGTTAAGATTAAAAATATGCCTCTGTGTCCTCATCTGTAAAATAAGGATAATAACAGTGGGGATAATGGTAATGTTACAGAGTTGTCAGAAGAATTAAATGCATTAATAGATGTAACAAACTTGAAAGTGTGCCTCTTGGCCAGGCGCAGTGGCTCATGCCTGTAATCTTAGCACTGTGGGAGGCCAAGGTGAGAGGATCACTTAAGCCCAGGAGTTCAAGACCAGCCTTGGCAAAATAGCAAGACCTAATCTCTACACATAATTTAAAAAAATAGCCAGGTGTAGCAGTGCATGCCTCCCTGTGGTCCCACTACTGGGGAGGCTGAGGTGGGAGAATTGCTTGAGCCCAGGCCACGGAGGCTGCAGTGAGCTGTGATTTCGCCACTACAATCTATTTGCCTGAGCAACAGAATAAGACTCTTCTAAGAAAGAAAGAAAGAAAAAAAAAACTTTAAAAAAAAAAAAAAAAAAAAAAAAAGGCAAGAATGTCTAGCATGTGATAAGGGCTGTAGAGTGTTCACAATTATTATTTCTATTGTCCTTTCTATTATTGTTGTTATGATTATTATTTGCCTTGATGATCTGGGGGATAGCTTTATCCTTTGGGCAGATAGCCACATTCCCCTATACCTGGTATCCCATGCCTAGTGTACCCACTTACTGGGTACACATACACACACAGGTACACACTTTTTCTTTTTTTTTTTTTTTTTTTTTTTTTTTTTTAAGATGGAGAGCAGTGGTGTGATCTCGGCTCACTGCAACCTCTACCTCCTGGGTTCAAGCAATTCTCCTGCCTCAGCCCCCCAAGTAGCTGGGACTACAGGTGCCACCATACATGGCTAATTTTTATATATTTAGTAAAGACAGGGTTTCACTGTGTTGGCCAGGATGGTCTCGATCTCCTGACCTCATAATCCACTGGCCTCGGCCTTCCAAGGTGCTGGGATTACAGGCATGAACCACTGCGCCCAGCCCACAGACACAGGGTCTCACTCTGTCACCCAGGCTAGAGTGTAGTTGTGTGATCTTGACTCACTGCAACCTCCATCCTGGGCTCCAGCAATCCTCCCACCTCAGCCTCCCAAGTAGCTGGGACTACAGGCACGCACCACATTTGGCCAATTTTTGTATTTTTTTTGTAGCGATAGGGTTTCACCATGTTACCTAGGCTCGTCTTGAATTTCTGGGCTCAAATGATCCACCCACCTCAGCCTTCCAAAGTGCTGGGATTACAGACATGAGCCACTGCACCCAGCCTAGGTACACATGTATTAATCATACTAGTTACTACATATTAAATGCTTAACTATTCCAAGAACTTGACAGGTTTTATCTCATGGATTATTCATAACAAACCTATGAGGTCTCTACTGTTTCAGCTTTAATTTCACTAATGGGGAAACAGACTCAGAGACATACAGTGACCCACCCAAAGCCACACAGCAGGCAAGCGACAGCAGCAACCTCGGGGAATTATGGAGAGTGTTTACTTCCCCCAAGCCATGCCTGTGGGAGCCGGGGAGGAGAAGGTGCATAATGTAAAGTCCACTGGCTCTGAGCTCAAATCCCGACTGCATGGCATGCTGGCCGTATAACCTTGGGGAAAGCGTGGAATCCTCAGCTATCAAATGAGATGAAGAATTGTACTTGCTTCATGGGGCTGTGGTGGAGATACATGTAAAAACCTTCCACCTGGTACCCTGTAGGCAGTAAATTTGTGTGTGTGTGTGTGTGTGTGTGTGTGTGCGTGTGTGTGTGTGTGTGTGTATTTTCAGAGACAGAGTCTTGCTGTGTCCTCCAGGCTGGGGTGCAGTGGCACGATCTCAGCTCACTGCAACCTCCACTTCCTGGGTTCAAGCGATTCTCATGCTTTGGCCTCCAGAGTAGCTGGGATTACAGGTAAGTGCCACCATGACTGGCTAATTTTTGTATATTTTTAGTAGAGTCCGAGTTTCACGATGTTGGCCAGGCTGGTCTTGAACTCCTGACCTCATATAAACTGCCCACCTTGGCCTCCCAAAGTGTTGGGATTACAGGTGAAAGCCATCGCAACCACTGCTAAAGGATCAGGGCTTTTTGCCTTTTATTTCTTGGGCATCATTTTCCTCTCCATAGCACCCTTTAATTAAGGGTGTGTAGAGTGATGTTTTCAGGAAAGCTCAGGGAGGAGAGAATTGCCAGACTGCCGGTACTGCTGACTCAGCTGGAAGCATCTTTCCTGTTTAGCCATCTTGGAAGGCATCTGCTCCTGTTTGAGCTGGTGCTCTAGATACTGCCTGGCCATTTGGGATGGAGGAACTCTCCCTCTGCATTCTGGAGTGCTGCTCTTCTTCCCTGCTTCCTGAAAAGTTCCAGGCTCTCTTCCCAGTCCCCCAACTCCCATGTTGCCAGATTTCTTCCCCTCCAAATTTTTCCCGTTCTCTCTCAGCAGCCCAGGCTGAGCTCGGCACCAATACCATCCTCCATCCTGTGTCCTTAGCACCATTCCTAACTCACAGTGCTTCATGTTAACAGGTCAGGCTGCCTCTGGCATCAAACCTGAGCCACGAGTCTACTCCACCCTCCTCAACAGTGGCTGCCAAGCGGGCGAGTACGCAGCCTGCTTCACAGAGCTGCGGAGGAACTTTGTGAACATTCGCCCAGCCAAGTTGAAGAACCTGATCTTGCTGGTGAAGCACTGGTACCGCCAGGTGAAGCCACTGGGAAGGGCTGCTCCAGACGTGTGACTATTTGCTTTGTACTGTCATGGTCATGAAACTATTGTCTTACATTTAGTGGCCATTCATGTTCTCTTTCTGGGAATTGTCTGTTTATGTCTCTTGTGCATTATTTTCTCTTGGGTTACCTGTCTTGTTATTGATTTGTTGAAGCTCTTTATGTGTTGTAGATACTGATCCTTATTTAGTTAATATAAGGCATTCTTCCAACATTCTTCCAGTCTGTGTCTTGGGCTTTTGCTTTGTTTAAAAGTTATTTGTCAGACAAAATATTTAAATTTTAATGTACTTAGATATAGCCTTTTAAAAATGATTTATTCTTTGTGTGTCTTAAGAAGTCTTTTCCCATCCTGCTGGGTGTAGTGGCTCACGCCTTTATTCCCAGCACTTTGGGAGGCCAAGGCAGGTGGATCACTTGAGGTCAGGAGTTTAACACCAGTCTAGCCAACATGGTGAAACCCTGTCTCTACTAAAAATACAAAAAAGTAACCAGGCGTGGTGGCGCATGCCTGTAATCCCAATTACTTAGGAGGCTGAGGCAGGAGAATCACTTGAAAACCAGGTGGCAGAGGTTGCAGTGAGCCAAGATTGCACCACTGCACTCCAGCCTGGGCGACAGAGCCAGACTCCATGTTAAGAAAAAAAAAAAAAAAAAAGTCTTTCCCTGTCCTGACTTTGTAAAATGATTCTTTCCTATTTCCTGCCATCCGATTGCTTTCCATTGTATTTCTTTTCATACTCAGGGCTTTGGCCTATCTGCTTTGGTATGAGGTAATATGTAGTCAATATACCTTGATCCCCAGCCCCAGGGATGCTCCCTTGCTCTGTTCATGTTTATTGACAGACTCTTATGCGCTGAGGGAAGTGTGTCCAGCTTGTGCCTAGAAATGAGGGAACAGGCTCCCCCAAAATCTTGCAGCGTATGGCTTGGTCCTTCTGATGGACTAGTCATCATAAGGAGGTCTAGCTATGAGGAGATTCTGGATTCCAATCCTGGCTCAGCCATCTTCTTACTGTGTGACCCTGGACAAGTTTCTAGCCTTCTCTGGGCGTCTGTTTCCTCCACTTGCACATAAAGAAATATATGCGTCTGTAAATCTTACTCAGCTTCTTCCCACATATGATTCTCCCGGGGTAGAAATACTAATAGCCTGGTACTTCTTAAAAGGGCAAACTGCTGGGTATGGTGGTTCATGCCTGTGGTCCTCTCTATGCAGGAGGCTGAGGTGGAAAGATCACTTGAGCCAGGATTTCAAGGCTGCAGTGACCTATGACTGAGCCACTGTACTTGAGCCTGGGCAACAGAGGAAGACCCTGTCTATAAGTTAATTAATTAATTAATTAATTAATACAACTATGGAGCCAGCCTGGTTGGGCGTTAGAAATTCTATCTTGACCTGGGTGGTAGGTACATATGTGCACCCAGGTGTGTTTGTAACCCCACAGAGAGGGGGTGAATGGAGGGAATGTGGAGATGCTGGGTGCCTCAGGCCAGGTGGGTCAGCTGCTGGCAAGCTGAAGCATCCACTCCGGAGTTACCCAGAGGCCTGGGATTCTTGCCCTGGCATGGAGTAATCCCTCCCTGTTACATGGAGATCCCAAGTATATGGTACACAAGTAGAAATCATGCATTTTGGGAGGGGGCAGCAAGGAGGGAAGGACAGAGCCCTGGCCCACTGCCCCACCCCACCCCAGCGGTGGGAGGGCAACCATTTGATGTCCTTCTCCAGTCAGCCACACAACGGGGACCGAAGATCTGCTTGACCTTTATTTGAGGATAGGTAGCAGTTTCAGACTACCCTTGGCTTCTCTCTGACTGCTCCTTGCCTGGGGGCTTAAAACTTACACCCCTCCCTCCCGCTACTTCCCCATCATACAAGCCACCACTTTGCCGAAGCCGCCAGTGAGGGCTGGTGAGAAATGCCACTTGTGATTGAAACAGGGTTGGAACACAGCATCTTGTCCCAGGCTCAGCCTGGAAGGTCCCCAGTCTGGTTCTGCAGAGAGCTGGCTCTCTTTCCTCCCCTTCATCCTTCTGAGCCCCCTGCCATGCCCTCTCACAGGTGCTCCCACAGGGGTTGCAGAAGGAGACGCTGCCCCCGGTCTATGCCCTGGAACTGCTGACTATCTTCGCCTGGGAGCAGGGCTGTAAGAAGGATGCTTTCAGCCTGGCCCAAGGCCTCCGGACTGTCCTGCACCTGATCCAACAGCATCAGCACCTGTGTGTTTTCTGGACCATCAACTACGGCTTCGAGGACCCTGCCATCGGGCGGTTCTTGCAGCGGCAGCTTGAGAGACCCAGGTACCTCCTAATATCCCACCACCTGCTCTCCTGTCCTGGGGCCAGGGGGAGATAATTAACAAGGATAAAACCAGTCACATCTACTGAGGGCTTGAGTGTGGGCCAAAGCTACATGTACACATTTTAATTTACTGGATTCAGCCCAGATGCACGTTAAAATTACCTGGGGGAGTTTTAAAAAATATACCAGTGCCCGACCCCACATGTTTTATGTGTGAATGCTTTGCTGATGTATAGCAGATAGTGAACATTCTGATGACTGTGAAGAGTGCATGCTTAGAAATCACCACCCAGAATATTTCCAGCACCCCACACAGCCCCTCTCAGTCAGTAACCTTCAAAATAACCCCACTTACATGTTTATAATTACAGTTGTGCTTTTCCTTAAATCTTATTTAAATGGAATCATGCCACATGTACTTTTGTGTCTGACTTCTCTTCCTCAAGATTGAATCTTTGAGGTTTAGCTGTATCGTTGTGGGTCATTCTTTTTTATTGCTGTATAGTATTCCATTGTGTGAATTTATCAAAATATGTTGTCCATTCTATGATGATGGACATTTGCATTCTTTCTGCTTGGAGCTATTACTAATAGGGCTGTTACAAACATTCTTGGACATGTTTTTCAGTGCAGATGCATATCTGTTGGAAATATTCCTAGGAATGAAATTGCTGAATTGTAGGTTGTAACGTAGAGTCCTTGAGAGTGGATCCTGTTATCTTGTGATTCCAATGTGCAGTCAGAGTTGAGAACCATTGCTCCAAGTTAATCTCTACAACGGCTCATCAAGGCAGGCATGGTTGTGATCTTCATTGTGCAGATGAGGAAATTGAGGCTCAGAGAAGGTAAATCATCTGCCCCAGGTCACACAGCTGGAAAGTAGCAGAGATGCACTTGGAACCAGGTCTGTTTCACTCCAGAAACCCTGATCTTGACTTTCTTGCTAATGAGAACCTTCTTGTCTCTCTGAAATTGCAGGCCTGTGATCCTGGACCCAGCTGACCCCACATGGGACGTGGGGAATGGGGCAACCTGGCACTGGGATTTGCTGGCCCAGGAGGCAGCATCCTGCTGTGACCAGCCGTGCTTTCTACAGGCGACGGGGGACCCAGTGCAGCCCTGGGAAGGGCCAGTGAGTGAGGGGGTCCCAGGACCCTTCAGTTTTGCACTTTGTTTATGTGTCCAGTGTTTTCTGAGCATCTACTATGTGCCATATGGTGTAGAACAGGCTTTATAATGCAGAGGCGGCCGGGCGCGGTGGCTCATGCTGTAATCCCAGCACTTTGGGAGGCCGAGGTGGGTAGATTACCTGAGGTCAGGAGTTTTAAGACCAGCCTGGCCAATATGGTGAAACCACATCTCTACTAAAAATACAAAATATGGTGGTGGGCACCTGTAATCCCAGCTACTCAGGAAGCTGAGGCAGATTTGCTTAAACCAGGGAGGTGGAGGTTGCAGTGATTGCATGCCACCATTGCACTCCAGCCTGGGTGACAGAGTAAGACTCCATCTCAAACAAACAAACCAAAAGCAGAGGCAGCAGGCATGTAAAAGAGTCCAGTCACCAAGCTGAAACTGCCCGGGGGAAGGAGCCCTTTGTTTTTCTGTAGTTATTGTCTGCCCACCAGGCCTTTCTGCTCATCACAAGGGGCCCCATTTTGCAGTTTATCCCTTCAGAAATGCACCTTTTTCAAATCTGCCCAAAGATGCCATGTGGGTTAGCCATGGCCCTCCCAATTCCGCTCTCTGAGCCTCAGTCACCCTGACTGTACAAAGGGCGGGAGCTGGGGAGAGAAGGCGTCAGGCTGCAGAAACCTCTGCACTTGAGTGAGGCAGCTCCTTCAATGATCTTCCAGGGCCTTCCATGTGCCAGGCGCTCAGGTTTGGGCCACCCCATCCAGCTAGACCCTAACCAGAAGACCCCTAAAAACAGCAAGAGCCGCAATGCTGTGCACCCAAGGGCAGGGAGCAAGCCACCCTCATGCCCAGCTCCCGGTGCCGCTGGGGCAGCCAGTGTCGCCCCCTCTGTGCCGGGAATGGCCTTGGATCTGCCTCAGATCCCCACCAAGGAGCTGGACCGCTTCATCCAGGACCACCTGAAGCCAAGGCCCCAGTTCCAGGAGCAGGTGAAAAGGGCCATCGATGTCATCTTGCGCTGCCTCCGTGAGAAGTGTGTTCACAAAGCCTCAAGAGTCAGCAAAGTGAGTTGGGCCACTGGAGACACAGGGGGACCCTATTGAGGGATCACCGTGGGGAGGGGAAGGAGTTACAGCAACGGAGCTGAGGCTGGGCTGGGGAACCGGACGGCCCAGGAAGGATGGTTTGCTCGTTTAAATAAAATATATTCAAGTGCCATCTTAGTTTTTCTTTTTTTAATGATACCATTTTAAAAACACTATTACAAGAATCAAATTGCTTCTCTCCTCTGCTCAAAATCCTCCATGGTTTCACAGGGTGTAGAGGAGGCCTTGTTAGAAATAGATGCTCAGTGCTGCAAAGAAAAATTAGCACTAAGACAAAGGGTCTTTCAGCAATACAATTTTTACTTCCTGGATTGCAGGAAGGGTACCTTCGCTAGCCCTTGTGTCATGAGAGTACAATGAACAAAGGAAAACACACAAATTTATCCCTTACGCATTTGGGGTTGTCCTTACCGCTGTGTCTGATCTCTGTTGGCTGGAGCCAGACCTCACAATCTAAACTAAAACCCAGTTGGCCAAAAACTTAAAAACTTTCTAAACAGGTAAAAGCAATGGAGAGCTGGGACATGCCTGTGAGCATGTCCAGCACAGATATCTTGGTTAAAGTAAAAGGACGTAGAATGTACGTCGTGCCTGTAAGCAGGGCGTGTCTAACAGCTACATAGAGTAGAGCTTAACAAAGTTATTAGCACACTTATTCTTTAACAAGAAAGGAAACTTTTAAAAGGAACTTGTCTACTTCCCACAGGCTTCAAGTCCTGCAGGATGGGCCCTGGTATCCCTCTGTCCCCTTCCACTGAGGCCTGACCACACAATTTAAAATTGCAGTCTTGCACTCCTGGTCCCCTTTCTGCTCTGCACAACGCTTTGCGTCTTCTCCGGACCTACTGTTTACTGATGGTCCCTTCCTCCCCTCCCCCAGCCAGCATGTAAGTTCCAGGAGAATAGAAATTTTTTATCCTCTTTTCTTCTTTCCTTCCTGCAACAAACATTTAGTTAGCACTTACTGTACTGGCATATGTGTGCTACCCCGTGTGATATCCCGTTACATGTAAGTGCTCACTAAATGTTGCAGGAAGGAAAGAAGAAGAGAGGGAGGGGATTGATGGAAACAGGGCAGCAGAGCACAAGTGCAGGCCCTGTTTGGCCTTGGGACCTCGTTTGGCAGATGTGCAGTCGGTAGGCGTTGCAGAGTAGTATAAAATGTTTGGTCGCCGCCCCCATTATCTGTTGCTCCAGATTGGTCTGGCTTTGCTCAGGCTTCATGGATCAGAGGGCAGGTGCAGGCAGATACAACTTGACTCTGTGCCATGATTCTCAGAGGCCACAGGACCCATGCAGTCGGCCTCTGTCATAGTGCCCAGACCTGACATCAGCGAGAGGGCAGTTTCCAGGTTGTAGATGGGGTGCAGGTGATGCGATCATAGTCTGACTCCCAGGCTCCTAGAGGGTCCCCGGTCAGAGCTGTTCTTCTCTCCACAGGGGGGCTCCTTCGGCCGGGGCACAGACCTAAGGAATAACTGTGATGTTGAACTCATCATCTTCCTCAACTGCTTCACGGCCTACAAGGACCAGGGGGCCCGCCGCGCAGAGATCCTTGATGACATGCGAGTGCAGCTAGAAGCCGGGTGGCAGGACCAGGTCTCAGAACTGAGCCTTCAGTTTCCTGAGCAGAATGTGCCTGAGGCCCTGCAGTTCCAGCTAGTGTCCACGGCCCTGAAGAGCTGGGCGGATGTTAGCCTGCTGCCTGCCTTTGATGCTGTGGGTGAGGGCGCCCAGCCTGTGCCTTGGAGAGTGATAGGGACCTCAGGGGCCCATCTAACAGGGGTGCTGTCCTCTTTGTGATCCTAATTCTCCTGCTTGACCAAGCATTGAAAACTACTTTGAGATATTGAAAGTAATCATCACCATCAAATCTTATAACTAGCGCTTTAACTTTGCAAAGATTTTAATTATGAAATGTCTCAAGCATACAGAATACTAAAGACATCACATACCCATGTACCCCAATTCAGATTTAACAAATGTTAACAGTAGACATATCTGATTGGTATTTTTTTTTAAAGAAATGTCTCATGTTATAATTTTCTTCCTTATTTTAGAGGGTTTACTTTATGGCTCATTTTTTTTTAACTTTTGGAGGTGAATCTTAGCTTAGTAACTGTCAGTTTTAGTCAATGCAATTAAAGCTACCCATTTCCGTTTCAGTGCCACATTAGCTATAGGCAAATCTTTTGTTCGACATGTATAATTTAGTATTATCATTCCAGTCTCAATACTTTGTACTTTTAACTATGGCATTACTGCTCGTTCTTTCATCCATGAATATTTGGAAGTAGCTTTCCAAACGGATATTTTGGGATTTTGTTTGCTTTTGGCATTTACTTATGATCTTTTTTTAGATTGTAATCAGAAAACATACTCTATGTGATATCAATTCTTTGGAATTTGTTGGCATTTTCTAGGTTGCCCATGGTTGAAAAGAATGCATGCTTTCCAGTCAGGCGTGGTAGATCATGCCTGTAATCTCAGCACTTTGGAAGGCTGAGGCAGGCAGGCCGCTCGAGGTCAGGAGTTCACGACCAGCCTGGCATAGTGAAGCCCTGTCTCCACTAAAAATACAAAAAAAGAAAAGAAAAGAAAAGCCTGGCCTGGTGGTGTGCAGCTGTAATCCCAACCACTTGGGAGGCTGCGCAGGAAAACTGCTTGAACCTGGGAGGCGGTGGTTGCAGTGAACTGAGACTCCATCTCCAAAAAAAAAAAAAAAAAAAGAGCGCATGCTTTCCATTGTAGAATGCAGACTTCTTTAGATCTAGCTTATGATTTTTTGCTCAGATCATTTTTTGTTTGGTCTCTCAATTTCTGAGTGAGATATCTTAAAATCTCCTGTGCTGAATGGAGATTTTTCCATTTTTCCTTGCAATTCTGTAAAGTTTTGCTTTTAATATTTGGAGGCTATGTTATTGAGGACATATAAGCATATAATTATTATATTTTATTGGATTGTTCTTTTATCATTAAGTATTAATCTTCATGATTCCTAAGTTATCTTTGTCTTAAAGTCTCTTGTCTCATATTGATTGTGAGCAGTCCTCTTTTGTCAGCATTTTCCTGGTGTACCCTCTCCACTCTTTATTTTCAAGCATGTGTTATTAAATTGTACCCTCTACAGGCATCACAAAGCTAAAAGACAAAAATTAAGCAAGCAACAATAGTATAATGCTTTTTGAGGGTTTACTAATATCTTAGAACTAAACTACCAGACACTAATAATAGGGGAGATGATTCTTTTTGTGTTTGTTTCTACAGTCTATGCAAATTAAAACCTATTAATATAATTAACAAAATTTTTTTTACCATTGCTACTTGATTCCAGTTCTCGCTTCTGGATTCATTTTCCTTCTTACAGAAAGACATCTTTTAGTACTTTTTCAGAAAGGATTTATAAGTGACAGATTTTTCTCAGGCTTTGTCTAAAACCCTTTCTGTTTCACCTTCATGCTTGCATTGATGTTTGACACTTGTTTTCCCCCTCAGGCCTGCTGTCTTCTTACCTGTTGTTGCTGATGAGAAGTCTTCTGTCCGTTGTTGATTTTTTTTGTTGTAATGATCTATTTTTCGTTTGTGCATGTGGTTTTTTTGTTTCTTCATTTTGTTTTGATTTCCCTAAGACTTTCTCTTGGTTCATAGTATTCTTCAGTTTCTCTTTGATAGATCTGTGTATGGATTTCTTTTTAATGTGTCCTCTTTGAAATGTGCTTTCCCTCCTGAATCTGCGAGCTCAATTCTTCCTTTACTTTTAGGGAGATGTCTTCCAATAGCTCTTTGAATACTGCCTCTCCCCTATCTCCTCTGTTCTCTACTTCTGGAACTCCGTTGGATGGTTTCTTAGCTCATCCTCCATGGCTTTTCATCTCTCTCATTGTTCCCATCTCTTTGTCTGTCAGGGCTGCCTGATTTTCAGTGGCTCAGACCTGTCTTCTGGCTTATAAACTCTCTTCAAATAATGTCTACTCTGCTGCCTATCCTTAATTTTTTTTTATTTCAATTACTTTTTTACCTCTAGAAGTTCTGTTTGTCTCTTTCTTAAATCAATATGTTATTTGTTCATAGACTTCAATTCTTTCATTGTGGTTTCAGTTTCTTTGATGTCTTTAATAATTGCCAACATGCTTATTTTAGTGTCTCAGATTGTCCTATTACCCCCAAATTCTTGAGGTGATAATTTTCCTATTTTTTGTGTCACCTGCCTCTCCCTCATGGTCCATCATGTCCTCATGTGGTTTGTAATTTTTTATTGTGAACTCATCTTTGGGGTCTGTGGAGCTTTTGTTGTATTTGCTTTTCCGGTGGAAGTTCCTTGTGCCCTGGGTTGGAGAAATATTCCTTGGGGGACCAAGTTTTCATTTTGCTTCTACCTGACTCCAAGAGTTTCACTAATTCCCAGGCGAGATTATGCATTAATTTAATAGTCTGGGATTTCCTCACCATGTGGATACTATAAATTTGGACTTCACATCCACATCTAGCACAGGATTGGGGTCCCAGTTTCTCACAGGGGATTTTCCTTTTCCCCCAACCCAGAGCCCTAGCAGCAAGCTTCCTTGAATCCCTGTTCTGCCAGTGGGTAACTTCTACAGTCACCTTTCATGAAGAAGGCATTTATTTATTGCAGAGGCCAGTCTTAAGAAAGTGAGCAATGAGACTCAATTCTAGCTTTCTCTCTGTGCCTTGTTTTTCTTCTTCTGGAGGATAACGTTAATAATAACAATAATTACTGCTTACTGAGCACACGATGTATTCTATGCACTGTTGTAGGCATTTCACATGCAGATTTCAATTGATTACTACAGTAGCCTTAGAAGGATAGGTGCTACTTTTGATCCCCTTTTACAGATGAGGAAACTAGACTGGAAGAGGCAAAAATTACCTGGCGTGGATTTGAACCCAGGCTTATCGGCCTCTAAACCTCACTTCTTTAACTACTATGTCACACAGCTTTTCTGGGTCAAGATTATCCATCTTTCAGCTTTCGGGGAAAATTTAAAAAACAAAAAATAAATAGAGGATTATCCACCTTGCAGAGTTACTGGATGGATTAGCAAAAATTATTGAAAAGCATCCAGTACAGAATTGATGCTGAGAAAATGAAAGCTCTGATTGTCATTCAGCGTTATAGTATATTATTGATTGCAGTGTTAGGTGATTAATGTTAGAATATTCATAAAGGCTGGTGAATGGATGGGTTAGTAAATGCTGCTGTCATCCATTGGAGTAGCATGCTCAGGGTGTTTCAAACCTCCACAGGGCAGCTCAGTTCTGGCATCAAACCAAATCCCCAGGTCTACTCGAATCTCCTCCTCAGTGGCTGCCAGGAGGGCGAGCATAAGGCCTGCTTTGCAGAGCTGCGGAGGAACTTCGTGAACATTCGCCCCGTCAAGCTGAAGAACCTGATTCTACTGGTGAAGCACTGGTACCGCCAGGTGAGTAGCCCTTGGCTCCTCCTAGGAAGCCGCCACTATCGTGGCAACAACGCCAGCCAATCAGCTCCTCCCTTACACCCACATCTCCCCCCTTTTGCTTCTTATTGGTCATCCAAAACAGAAGAAGCTGCCTCCTCCATCCTCCATTTCCTGCCCAGATCTGGAAGCCACTATTAGAAAAAAATCTTTTCTTCATCAAGTCTGAAGTCCTAGTTTCTTGTACCTGGAATTCACTGTCTCTCTTTAGCCCATCCACTTCTTTCTTTTGACACTGCAAATGTTTTCTCTGTTTTTCCTTCACTTCCAAGCCTTTGCTTATGCTGTTACCCCCACCTATTTCAATTTTTAGAAAATGTAAATTACACATCTCTATTTAAACTTTTAGAAAAGAAAACTCTTCTTTCTGGAAGCTTAAGAGCTGGCAATGACCACCATATAGTAAGGGCCTGTCCAAGATATAAAAACCAGAACATCGGAACAGAGAAGATCTGAACAGAAAAGCTGATGACTCTTTATGGGCTCCTGGATCAAGCTGTGCCTGAGAACAGCTCTACTCCAGGGCTTTTGGGTTACATCAGCCAATACATTCTTTCATAGCATTTTTTTCACTTTGTCACCCAGGCTGGAGTGCAGTGGCAAGATTACAGCTCGCTGCAGCCTCAACCTTCTGGGCTCAAGCAATCCTCCTGCCTCAGCCCCACCAGTAGCTGGAACTACAGGCATGCACTACTACTTCTGGCTAATTTTTGTGCTTTTTGTAGAGATAAGAGTCTCACCATGTTGTCCAGTTTAGTCTTGAACTTCTGAGCTCAAGTAATCCACCCACCTTGGCCTCCCAAAGTGCTAGGATTACAGGCGTGAGCCACCACACCTCAGCCTTGTTTCCTCTTTGGGTGGCAGCAAATTCCAAGCATCCTCCAGAGCTCCCTTACTAAATACCTCTCTGAACGCTGACTTGCATTCATGCATCCCTGTATTCAACAGACACCTGTTGAGCACCCACTATTTCTAACTATCGTGATGGGTGCTGGGATACCAAGATGAATACGTTGCAGCCTTTATTCCCGTACGACCACCCCATGCTATGCGATTAATGTTAAAATATTCCTAAAGGCTGGTGATGGATGGGTAGGTCAATTCCTCTGTCTTCAGTTAGAGTTACACACTCAGGATGTTTCAAATGTCCAAATTCCTTGAGGGGAGACACTAGGCAAAAGCCACAGCTGAGCCCTCAGTCTCACTGTATGACCTCGGATAAGTCACTACCCTCCTCTGAACCTCAGTTTACCCACCTGTAAAATGAGAAGCACCAGCCAGTTTCTGTTCTTTCTGGGCTTCTGTTTTCTGTATTCCCTTCCTGCCCCAGTGCTATGGCCACACTCAGCTCACATCCACTGATCACTTATCTTTGGTTGGCCTTGGGTGACACAGGTTGCGGCCCGGAATGAAGGAAAACGACCAGCCCCTGCCTCTCTGCCCCCAGCCTACGCCCTGGAGCTCCTTACCATCTTTGCCTGGGAGCAGGGCTGCAGGGAGGACTGTTTCAACATGGCCCAGGGTTTCCGGACGGTGCTGGGGCTTGTGCAGCAGCATCAGCAGCTCTGTGTCTACTGGACGGTCAACTATAGCACCGAGGACCCAGCTCTGAGAATGCACCTTCTTGGCCAGCTTCGAAAACCCAGGTGAAGACTGCTTCCTTTTGCCTGGCTTTCTGATCCTCCTCCTCCCCACTGTCACCCTGGAGTCGGTCATCCAGGAGGGATCCAAGGTCGGGTTTGGGGTGGCCGTCCCGCTCCTCACTCTGCTTCCCTCTGGACTCTTTGTTGAGGAAGTGTGGACATAAGGAGTCCCCAAAGAAACCAGGGCCCGTTTTATTAGCATGATACAATAGTATTTCTCAATTGAACAGGCCACTCAATAGCTTTCCAAGCAAGGCAGCCAGTTGAGACCACTTCTGCACCTGAGCAAGGCTGCGCCAACCCTGAGGTCCTGACACTCGCCCCTTCAGCCCTCCCACCCACCTCCTCTTTCACTGACTCCCACCCTCCCCACCCACCCACCTGCTGTGCCCCCAGACCTCTGGTCCTGGACCCCGCTGATCCCACCTGGAACGTGGGCAAGGGTGGCTGGGAGCTGTTGGCCCAGGATGCAGCAGTGCTGGGGATGCAGGCCTGCTTTCTGAATAGAGACGGGACACCTATACAGCCCTGGGATGTGATGGTAAGACGGAGGACCCTGCTCCCTGTCCCCCAGTCAGGTTCCCTTAACCTGCCAGCGCACCCATCCCCAGCTGCTAGGAGTGTTGGTTGCTGCCAACTCATAGCCACCCCTTCTCTGGAGACTTGCCTTCCATGAGATGCACAGATTGCTACGTCCCAGTCAGGGCTTGGGTGACACAGGGGTGCAAGAGGCCCAAATTTGTCTCCAGGCAGAACAGGCTCTGTGATGCAGTCCATGCTCCAGCGATCCCTGTGGGGTCAGGCAAACGCTTGTCTCCAGCTGAGCCCCCAGCTTTGCTAAGCTACTTCTCCGCCCCCAGCTGCTGTCTGCGTTCCACGTCTCCTGCAAGCGCTGCCCCAGTTAATCACATGCCCAAGAATTCCCACCATTGGCTCTGCTTCTAGGAAAACTGAGACGTAAGCCACTTGCAGCTCCCGAAAGGATATAATCTTATCACATTTACTATTTTGCTGCAGGGTCTCTTAACCAACGTTTAATACTCAAGACAAACCATTGAGACACGGGCTTCATTACTGCACTCATGTAAACATGGGGAAACTGAGGCTGTGTATTGGTGCTGGAACCAAAACTCAATCTCAGGTCCTTCTGATGCTACCTCAGAACCTAACAACCAGCTCAGAAGGCAAGAGGGACATAGGAGGCAGTGGGAGTCTTGTCCTTAGAGGACATCAAGGGGCAGGGCTTGGGCGAGCACTGGGAGTCCTGTCTCAAGCTGGCCCCACCTGGATTCTCTCTGCAGCCCGCCCTCCTTTACCAAACCCCAGCTGGGGACCTTGACAAGTTCATCAGTGAATTTCTCCAGCCCAACCGCCAGTTCCTGGGCCAGGTGAACAAGGCCGTTGATACCATCTGTTCATTTCTGAGGGAAAACTGCTTCCGGAATTCTCCCATCAAAGTGATCAAGGTGGTCAAGGTGAGTCCTCAGAGAGCTGTAGGCAAGCAATGTCCTGCAAGATGCTGATCTCTCCCAGGCCAGGGCCAGGCCTGACCCACTTCCGTGGCCCTCGTAGCAGCCAGCACAAAGCCAGGCATCACGAAAGAGCCTGAAAGTGGTCATGGGAGGATGGCAGAGAGAGGCTCAGATATGTCCAAAACGTCTCTTTTGGTTGGTTGCTAGTGACACCCAACTCAAAAGAGGCAACAAAGGAATGTACTGGCTGATGTAACTGGAAAGTCCTGGGGTAGGGCTGCTTTCAGGCATAGCTAGATCCAGAAGCCCAGGCAGCATCATCAAGACTCAGTTTTTCTCTCCAGTTCTTGGTTTTTCTTTCTCGTGCCTTGGTTAGGCCCTTAACATATGGTGGTCTTTGTCGGCTCTAAGCTTCCAGAAAGGGGAGTTTTTTTCTTTTTTCTTTTTTTTTTTTTTTTGAGACGGAGTTTCACTCTTGTTACCCAGGCTGGAGTGCAATGGTGCGATCTCGGCTCACTGCAACCTCCGCCTCCTGGGTTCAGGCAATTCTCCTGCCTCAGCCTCCTGAGTAGCTGGGATTACAGGCACGCACCACCATGCCCAGCTAATGTTTTTTGTATTTTTTAGTAGAGACGGGGTTTCACCATGTTGACCAGGATGGTCTCGATCTCTTGACCTCGTGATCCACCCGCCTCGGCCTGCCGAAGTGCTGGGATTACAGGCTTGAGCCACCGCGCCCGGTCGGGGAGTTTTTTTCTCAAAATTCAAATAAAAGTCTTGGAATTGAGTCTCATTGGCCTGGCTTGGGTAACCTACCAACCCCTAAACCAGTTGTGGGGCTAGTGAGATGCTATGCTCTGAGTGGCCAAGACTAGATCACATGGTGGAGTGGTCCCTGCCCAGACCTCAGGGGCTGAGTGTGGAGTAGGGGTGTTCCCTTCAAAGAACTCCAGGACGTTGATCCCAGGTGGAAGGATGCTGGGGGTATACAAAAAGTCACACTGTCCATGGCACTGGATACATCTTCAGCCCACAGCTGGAGAGGCAAGTGAGACCCAGATCAGCTCCAGAAAGTGTGAGCATAGAGCTAGCCAAGGAGAAGTGCCAGGGATGCTGGTTTGCTGTGTGACCCTAGGCATACACACCCCCTCTCTGATCCTCACTTTCCTGGTTCCTAACACTTGAGGCGAGTGGCCTGGCTCACTGGTTCTCAACCCTGGCTTCCCAGGCTTGACCTTGGAATCACAGTTTTTAAAAAAATATGCCGATGCCCAAGCCCCGACCCAGGAAAAATTAAATCGCAGTCTTGGGGAGTGGGACCCAGCCATTAGTCATTTGTAAAAGCCTTCCAGGTGCCAACAGGCTTGGGAGCTGCAGGCTCCCAAAAACCAACCAACAAACAAAACACCAAATCCTCTCCAGTCACAAAACATGATGGATTAAGAAATGTTTGCATTTGTTGAAAGGTTTAAACTTATCTCTTGCATGCTTCTTTTTCTTACAATCAAACCATATTAAAGATATAACACAGAGAGGTTAGGTGACTTGTCCAGGGTCACACAGCAGGTTTTCTAACTCATAGTTCAGAACCCACAGGCAAGAGGACACCAAGCCATGCTTCAAGGGTTGAGCCACCTGCCATGTCCTCTCCAGGGCGGCTCTTCAGCCAAAGGCACAGCTCTGCGAGGCCGCTCAGACGCCGACCTCGTGGTGTTCCTCAGCTGCTTCAGCCAGTTCGCTGAGCAGGGGAACAAGCGGGCCGAGATCATCTCTGAGATCCGAGCCCAGCTGGAGGCATGTCAACAGGAGCAGCAGTTCGAGGTCAAGTTTGAGGTCTCCAAATGGGAGAATCCCCGCGTGCTGAGCTTTTCACTGACTTCCCAGACGATGCTGGACCAGAGTGTGGACTTTGACGTGCTGCCAGCCTTTGATGCTCTAGGTGAGGTACCCTGGCGTAGGCCTGAGAGGGGGAAATACAGAGGCAGGGACGCCATGGGCAGTTGTAGAGGCTGCACAGTGCACAACCAGGCCACACCTGTTTACGTCATTGCAGGCATTGTAGTTGCGTATGTTCATCACAGCTTTCCAGCCAAGTATTTAAAGAAGAGGCCACCTTTTTCTAATTTACGTAGGCATTCTGTGGGCCGACAGTGGCCTCAAGCTGGGTTCTAGTCCCAGATATTCCACGAACATGCTGAGTGACCTTGAACAAGGGACTTCCTGTCCTGAGTCCCAGTGTCTTTAGCTCACATCTGACAGTAAGGACGTCGACGTTTCTTGCACATTCCCAGCTTCGCGTGTTTGTGTGCCTCCCACCTCTTCCTGCTGCAGATCCGTTTATTTGGTTCATTCAGTACCGGCGTCTACTCTGTGCCTAAAGTCACACTGTCCGCGGCACTGGATACAGCCTCAGTCCACAGCTGGAGAGGCAAGTGAGACCCAGATCAGCTCCCAGAACAAGTGTGAGCATACAGCCAACCAAGGAAAGGTGCCAGGGGTGCTGGTTTGCTGTGTGACTGTAGGCATAGACACTCCCCTCTCTGATCCTCACTTTCCTGATTTCTTTCTTTCTTTTCTTTTTTTGAGATGGAGTTTTGCTTTTATTGCCTAGGCTGGAGTGCAGTGGTGCCATCTCAGCTCACCGAAACCTCCACCTCCTAGGTTCGAGTGATTATCCTGTCTCAGACTCCTGAATAGTTGGGATTACAGGCATGCGCCATCACATCCGGCTAATTTTTTGTATTTTTAGTAGAGATGGGGTTTCTCCATGTTAGTCAGGCTGGTCTCGAACTCCCGACCTCAGGTGATCCACACGCCTCAGCCTCCCAAAGTGCTGGGATTACAGGCGTGAGCCACCACACCCGGCCCACACTTTCCTGATCTCTAACACTTGAGGCGAATGGCTTGGCTCACTGGTTCTCAGACCTGCCTAGTGCTCTACCAGCCACCAAAAATAAAGCCTTGAACAAAATAGACACAACTCTCTTCATATGTCTTCAACTCTCAGTCTGGTTAGCAGAGTTTTCAGAGTGAGAAAATCCCTCATGTCTGAATTTATTTGGTTTCTGAGTTTGAGGGAGCAGGTGGCCAAGGGAGGGAATCACATGAAATGTTTTTTTAAGAGACAGGGTCTTACCTTATCACCCAGGCTGGAGTGCAGTGGCATGATCATGACTCACTGCAGCCTCAAATTCCTGGGCTCAAGTGATCCTCCTGCCCCAGCCTCCTGAGAAGCTGGGACTACAGGTACACACCACCATCCCTGGCTAATTTACAGATTTTTTTGTAGAGATGGGGATCTCACTATGTTGCCCAGCCTGTATGGAACTCCTGGCCTCATATGATCCCCCTGCAGTGGCTTCCCAAAGTGCTGGAATTACAGATCTGAGCTGCTGCACCCGGCCCAGAAATTTATCTGAATCTATTCAGTTCCTCAGCTCAGCGAGCAAGAATTGGATATTAAGGAATGCCTTTAAGTGCAATGTAACCAGAATGGTGATGTCAACTCTATATACAGCTCCATCACTTACAGGAGGCTGTAACACTGAGGCCTGCCCTCCCTTGGTTAGAGAGAAAGATAAGCAAGTATTAGAGAGGTCTTAAAGATAGGCTAGTTCCCAGCTGAGACTTTTTCCAAGATGAGTATGCAGATGGTTTGAAAGGGGGCAGAAAAGGGAGTATGACTGTCACCAGGGATTTCATGTGGGTCATGCCACACCTGTGTCCACCTGAATACACCCTGTGGCCTCCCAGTGGATCCCGAACCACCCTTCGGAAAACACCCAAGAAGTAGGGGATCTCAGAAGTCCTTTCTAATTTGGCCCCACTGGGAGATTGTGGGAACCGGAGTGATGGTAGCAATCTCCCCGTCTCCAGGCCAGCTGGTCTCTGGCTCCAGGCCCAGCTCTCGAGTCTACGTTGACCTCATCCACAGCTACAGCAATGCGGGCGAGTACTCCACCTGCTTCACAGAGCTGCAGCGGGACTTCATTGTCTCTCGCCCCACCAAGCTGAAGAGCCCCTGCAAAGTGTTAGATGAAAAGGGAAAGTAGCCCAGCCAGTGCCACAGGTGGACACCTAGATGTTGCCAGGAGTAAGACTGACCCTGCTTGGGAATTACAGGCCTATCATCCTGGATCCAGCTGACCCAACAGGAAACCTGGGCCACAGTGCCCGCTGGGACCTGTTGGCCAAGGAAGCTGCAGCCTGCATTTCTGCCCTGTGCTGCATGGGACGGAATGGCATCCCTATCCAGCCATGGCCAGTGAAGGTGAGAGATCTAAGGTGCCAAAGGAAGTGCCCTTTGGGGGTAAGGGAGGAGCATGGTCAGGGGAGGGGCATGACTCCTCCTAAAGGGGCAGGGCCCAGTGATGGCCCCAGATGTGCCCCTGTGCTTCCATTTTCCCATCTGGCTGTGTGGTCTCAGCTTCTGCAGAAAGAATGGGGTTACCAACATCTCCTATACCTCCCCAGGCTGCTGTGTGAAGTCGAGAAAAGCAGCGGTCCTACGGATGAAGAGAAGATGGACACCAGCCCTCAGCATTAGGAAATTCAGGGTCCCCTGCCAGATGAGAGAGATTGTGCGCGTGTGTGTGTGTGTGTGTGTGTGTGTGTATGCACATGTGCATGTGGGTGTTTTAGTGAATCTGTTCTCCCACTCCCCTGCCTCCCATGGCTTCCGCACTAGGATCCAGATTCCATGGTTTGACACCAGCCTGCATTTGCAGCTTCTCTATCACCACCACGACTCTATTCTCTTAGCACCACGGCTGCAACCTACCCAGCTGAGAATACCCCCTCCTCCCTGACTCCTCTCTGCCCATGCAAATTAATTGACATCCTTCCTCCCGCTGCAATGCATCCCTTCCTCCCACTGGCCTCTCCCTCCCAACTCTGAATACTTTATATAGGGATGGCATAGAATTTCCATCTCATTTGTCAACTACAGTCATTTGGTACTGGCTGCCTGAATCCTTATCTTCTGAAGGATTTTAAAGAATGGACAAATAGCTGAAAAGAATGACCTAATCGATTAGTGATGTCTCCCATGGATGCAGTAGAGGGAAGTGGTGGTATTCATGCCATGATTGATTAGCAATGTCTGCACTGGATGCAGAAAAGAGAAGGTACTCACAGGTTTACTGTGTGGGAGGGCTATTGAGGAGCTCTCTGAGCTCAGTTGCTAGCAGGAAAGCATGCCCATATTGGCTTACTTTGTCTGCCACAGACACAGACAAAGGGAGTTGGGAGATGTATGTTATAGGGATCCTCTTATTGGACACCTAATTGGATGCCTCTTCATGGGAAGCCTCCGTCTCTTCACCTTTCATGCTGCACTCCTCCCCTAGTTTACACATCTTGATGCCGTGGCTCAGTTTGCCTTCTTGAATTTTTATTGGATTCCTGTTTTCTCTCCTAACATGCTGAGCTTCTGCATCCCCAGAGCCTAAACCTGAGCCAGTGCCCAAACAACTGGGCTCAGTCTGTTTCTCTCTGCTCTCCAGAGCAAGGCCCACCAAGTCCATGCAGGAGGCACTCCTGACCTCAAGTCCAGCAACAGTGCCCACACTAGTCAAGGTTCAGCCCAGAAAACAGAAAGCACTCCAGGAATCTTAAGCAGAAAGGGATTTTATCTAAATCACTGGAAAGGCTGGAGGGGCAGAAGGCAGAGGCCACCACTGGACTATGAGTTTCAAGATTAGACCACTGTAGCCAAATCAGCGATCAGAGAGCTGCCACTGCTGCTGCTAATGCCACCACTGCCCCTGCCATCACTACCTCACACAGACAAAGTGGGAGTCAAGACCTGGGGAGTTAGATTCCTTCAGTCACAAACATCCATCAGGGATGGCCAGCCGCTAGAGCTGCAGGAAGATGGCTGCTACCTCCCTTTCTTACCAGAATCTAAATTACAGTCAGAACTCTTGCTGCAGAGGAGTCTGAGACATATATGACGCGACTCACACCCACTGCAACACAGAGAGAAATGGGTGCTGAGTGCCGAGGGGCAGAGTCCCCAGCAGATACATCCTGGCCTTCTGTTAGGTGGATGAGGGAGTGGGTCTATCCCAGAGGGAGGAACAGGAAACAGAGGAAGGAAGCCACTGAAACTTAGCTGCTAGGAATGTTAGATTGAGTGGTATGAGAAGAGCCTTCCCTAGTTATCATCATTCTTGGAGAGAGGAGAGCAACCAAAGGCAGCTCCTCTGATTGACCTGGAGCCAGTTCTCTGCCGTCTTTGGCTCGGCCTACAGGGACTAGAGTAGGTGAAGGGCCAGAGGACAGGCCTTCTAATACCTGTTGGGCCATATTGATGACCTCCATCCCTGTCCCCCCGTCTTGGTGCTGAACCAATACCACAGGCACCTTCTTAGACTCACCTGGTGGATACTGGATGGTAATCCAAGGTTAGAACTCTCAGGACCCTCTCGGATCAGCCCTGGCTGCTACCACACGCATATCCAAGAGCTCAGGGCCAGCTCTGGGGGGCAGCAGAAACCTGCTCTGTCCAGCAGCAGAGTGGCCCTGGCATGGGCATCACAAGTCGGTGATGCTCCTCCTGGCCAGATCAGGTGGCAGGTCCCAGTTGGGTACCTCCCATTCCCACCACACAGACTCTGGGCTTCCCTCCAAAATGGCTCCAGAATTAGGGTAATTATGAGATGGTGGGAACCAGGGCAGCTCAGGTGTGTGATACAAGGAATAGTTTTCATCTGGGCAGGAGAGAGAGGCGGTCCTGCTGATCTGAACAGGGGTGTATTCCATTCCAGGCCCTCAGTCTTTGGCAGTGGCTACCCTGGTGTTTACATATTGGCCCACTGTGCCTTTTGGGGGCTTCCCGGTCTAGCCACACCCTTGGATAGAAAGACAACCGCATAAAGATGTTGGTTCTCCCTGAGTTGATTGTTAGACTTAGTGGTCACCCTAAAAATACACACATGTGCTTTTCTATGAACCAGATAAGTTGATACTAATGTTCTTATGGAAAAATACACACACAATAGCCAGGAAAACACAGGAAAAGAAAAGCTCTGAGCAGGGCCTAGCCTTGGCTAATATTAAAACATGCTATGAAGCCTCTGATATTTACACAGCATGGTGCTGGTACCTAAAAAACAGACCAGTGCAATTGGATGGCTCTTTCCAAGACTCTGGGGATAAAAGTAACCAAAAGCTAAATGCAGTCAATCATCCATTGAAAGCTAAGTGAGAGAGCCAGAGGGCCTCCTTGGTGGTGTAAAGAGGCTTGCATTTCTTGCAGCTAGAAGACAGAGAAAGTGAAGACCAAGTCCAGAATGAGTCCTAAGAAATGCAGGACTCCAAAGAAATTGGTGGGTGTGTGTTTTGTGTGTGTGTGTGCGATTTTTAAATTTTTAATTTTTACCAAGTTTTTTGTTGAGATATAGGTCACATACCATAAATCTCTCACCCTTTTAAAGTGTACAATTCAGTGTTGTGAGTATATTCATAAGATTTATACTTGGTATCTATTCATAAGACTTATATTGAATATATTCATAAGGAGAGCTGTATCACAGATGCATTCATCATCATAATTCCAGGCATTTTTCATCAACCTAAAAGGAAACCCTGAAACCCATTAGCAGTCATTCCCCATTCCTCCAACCCATTCTCCCCCTAATCCCTAGGAACCGCCAGTCTACTGTGTGTTTCATCTATTGCAAACATTTTATATAAATGGCATCATATAATACGTGGCCTTTTTGTGTCTGGCTTCTTTCACTTAACATGCTTTCAAGATTCATTCATGTTATAGCATGTGTCGGTGCTTCATTCCTTTTTATTACTGAAGGATATTCCACTGCATGGATGGACCACAGTTTGTTTATCCATTCTTCCATTGACAGGCATTTGAATAGTGTCCACTTTTTTTTTGCTATTTTGCTCCATTTTTTTGCTATTATGACTAAGAGCTGCTATGGACATTTTTTGGTATGAGATTTTGTGTGGACATATGTTTTCATTTTTCTTAAGCATTTAAAGGTAATCCCCGATTGATGGCCCCATCATAAGTCAAGGAGCATCTGTGTGCTGTATTAATCAGGGTTCTCCAAAGAAACAGAACTTTTATAATAGAGAGATATATATAGAAAGAGATTTATTATGAGGGTTTGACTTGTGTGATTATGTAGTCTGAGAAGTTCTGTGATCCACCGTCTGCAAGCTGGAGACTCAGGAAAGCCAGCAGTTGTAGTTTCAGACCAATTCAGATGCCTAAGAACCAGAAGATGGGTGGGCTAAGTCCCAATCCCAGTGTGAAAGCCCAAGAACCAGGACCATCGATAACTGAGGACAGGAGAAGACAGAGGCCTCAGCTCATGCAGGGAGAGAAAATTTGCTGTTCCTCTTTTTGTTCTATTCCGGCCTCCAGTGGGTTGGAAGATGCGCACTCCCCTGGTGAGGGCTGTCTTCTCTACTCAGTCTACAGATTCAAATACTAATCTCTTCCAGGAACATGCTCACAGACACGTCCAGAAATAACACTTTACCAGCCATCTGGGCATCCCATAGCCCAGTCCAGTAGTCACATAAGATTAACCCTCATGTATACCTAGGATTGGAATTGCTGGATCACGTGGTAACTCTATGTTTAGCCATTTGAGAACTGCCAGACTGTTTTCCACGGTGGCTGCACCATCTACACCCACCCACCCCTGGCAGTGAATGAAAGTTCCGGTTTCTCTGTATCCTTGCCAACACTCATAGTCCATCATGTTGATTATAGCCATCCTAGTGGGTAGATAAGAAAGTGATAATAGGCTGTCAGAATTATCAGGTCTGCTCAATGTGGTCAGGACCCTACATGGTAAAGAAGAATAGGACCCTGACACACAGAATGGGGACATACAGGTTGACGCCACTGAGAATCATTTTTTTTGAGACAGAGTCTTGCTCTGTTGCCCAGGAAGGAGTGCAGTGGCACAACCTTGGCTCACTGCAACCTCCATTTTCCGCATTCAAGCGAATCTCCTGCCTCTGCTTCCCAGGTAGCTGGAACTACAGGCACATGCCACCACGCCTGGCTGATTTTTGTATTTTTAGTGGAGGTGGGGTTTCACCATGTTGGCCAGGCTGGTCTTGAACTCCTGACCTCAAGTGATCTGCCCATCTCAGCCTCCCAAAGTGCTGGGATTATAGGCAAGAGCTACCACCCCGATCCCACTGGAAATCTTGAATCCCCAGATTCCCCTCACCCCTAAGAGCTATAAAAGTGACCCATCTATCCCTCCCTGTTAATAGCTAGCACCTCGTCTCTTGCTTGGAAACCCTGCAGAGGCCTCTCATCCACAAGACGTTTGTCCCTGTGCCCGCCTCCTCTCCTGCCCACAAGGGCTATGACTAGGCTTAAGTTCCAGCATAAACCAGCCTGGGATGTGACAAGCCTCATAGGGGAGGGAAGGGCCTATCTCCCAAAGCAGCTGAAGGGCCGAGCCAGTGTGACCAGCAGAAGTCGGGTGAGCACATGCAGGAGCAGACCTTGAGGGTGCTCCATCAAGGGGCTGCAGTGTGAGGTCAGGTAAGAAAGGGTTTATTGACTCGGAAGTCCTTTGGGAGTTCAGGGCTGCACAACCTGGGAAGGACTCCAGGAGAAGGTGTAAACTTGCTGCAGGAGGGCTCCTAGAAGGGTGGAAAAAGTAGTAGGCCCTGCTAAGTGAGATCCAAATGCCAGAATTGCCAAGGGAGATGGTGGTAGATGGGGTGAAAGGTCAGGGAAGAGGGAATGCTTGGGTAGGCTGCATAAGGCCCGGGGAGCCAGGGGCGATGCTTTTCCATGGAAAGGCCAAGATTCCCCTTTACCAAGTCCACAAGGAATGGGTCAGGAAGAGGACACCAGCTAGCGTTGCAGAGACGCTCAGAGAGCCTCCTGTGTGGGAGATGCCATCACAGGATGATGGGCGAGGCCCTTTGGGAGCTAGGCTCACCAACAGCAAAGGGGATGGTTTAACCGTGGAGTAAGAGAGGCCAGGAGACAGCTCCCATCAGGGGACGCAGTGCTCACCATGAGCGGCAGGGCCCAGGATTGGCCAGGAGGGTCTGGGCTGCAGAACATGGAGATGACCCTTAAATCTTGGCTTTCATAGGGACAGACTAGATGGACCACAACAAGGGAACTACTCAACTTGTACCATCAAAATACCTCAAGAATGAACACTGAGGGAACCTCCCCGAGTAAAAATAGCACCATTGCTTTCCCGTGGACTTCCCAGGAAACACGTCTGTCACTGCTGGGAAAGGCAGCAAAAGAGAAAGGACTTACAGAGTGCCTACATAAACTGGTTGTGAGTAACACACAAACAAGGAACAGCAAGCTGCGGAAGCCCGAAGGAGTCCTCTGAGGAGGAAGGCCTCTCCATCCTCATGTTCCGGTGCAGGGTGACCTTGGCTCTGTTACCATAAACATTGTGCTCAAGGACGTAAAACTGCTTCGTAGCACTAGGATGTAGCCAGACTTGTAGGCTCCTTGTAAGATCCATGTTCCACCAGCTACACATAGATAATAAGCTAAAGATAACACATGTTCTTGTTTTGTGAAACTCCCAGACTGCCACTGTTATCAATCCTTAGGATGACACGCCAGTTCCAGCTCGCTAATTCTCTTCCAGCTCATTGATTCCCTCCACCATCACCCTCTCCCCATCATTACTCCACCCCTACCCTATAGGTCAGAGTCATTGTAATCAATAAATAGTCTGGATGATCAGAGCTCGGGGCCTTCACTGTCTCCTCCAGTAATGAGTGATGGCCCCCTGTCCCACTTTCTCTCTTAATCTGTCTTTTTCTCATTCCTTTGTCACCACCGAAATCAGGGTACCCGAGGGTGTGATGTGGGGCTGGTTCCCTACATGTCACATATGACAGCTAAATGTCACGTTTGAGCCTAGATATTGTGTGTGGGGGGGGGGTGGGGAGTGCTATAAAGAAGAGTATTGGAATAATTGGTAAAAATTTTCGGTATAAGAATATATTTATGGCGTGGCTCAGTGGCTTATGCCTGTAATCTTACCACTTTGGGAGGCTGAGGCAGGCAAATTGGTTGAGGTCAGGAGTTCGAGACCAGCCTGGGCAACATGGCAACACCATACCTGTACAAAAAATACAAAAATTAGCCAGACATGGTGGTGTGTGCCTGTAATCCCAGCTACTCAGGAGGCTGAGGCAGGAGGAGGATCACTTGAGCCTGAGAGGTTGAGGCTACAGTGAGCTGAGATTGTGCCACTATACTCCAGCTGGGGTGACAGTGAGACCCTGTCTCAAAATATATATTTACATAATAAATATATACATTTATTGTATATGTTACATAAATTATATACATTTATATGTTTATATAATAAATACATATATTTATTATATCTGTTATAAGAGATGATGGTGTTGTATCAATGCTAAAATTCTGAATTGGACCATTGTTCTGTGCTTCTGTAACACAATATTCTTATTCTTAGGAGATATAGGTTGAAACATTTAGGAATAAAGGGATATAAAACATGCAACATGCAACATGCACTCAAATGGTTCAGGAATAAAAATATGCCTATAATCCCAGCACTTTGAGTGGCTGAGGTAGGAGGATCGCTTGAGGCCAGGAGTTCAAGACCAGACTGGGCAACATGCTGACGTAGTAACTCCTGTTTCTACCAAAATTTTTAAAATTTAGCCAGGCATGGTGGTACATGCCTATAGTCTCAGCTACTGAGGAGGCTGAAGTGGAAAGATTGCTTGAGCTTGGGAGGGTAAGGCTGCAGTGAGCTATGACCATTCCAATCTACTCCAGGGTGCTCTTCGTCAGCAATCTTGCCATGAGAACACACTGAACAAAGGAACAGGCAGGAATATTTATTATTTACACATTGGGTCTTCACTGCGGTGTCTGGTCTCTGTTGGTTGGAGCCAGACCTCACAATCTAAACTAAACCTCGATTGGTTAACAACTTAAAACTTTCTTAAATAGATAAAAGCAATGGAGAACAAAAGGAAAAAAGGAAGTCCAAATAAGGAAGGGAGAGGAAGTGGCCTGCAAAAGGACTTAGAAAAGTAATCACATAAATATCTTGATTAATGTACAAGGACATAGAATGTACTTATTCCTTTATGTCTAACAGCTGCATGGGATAGGGCTTAACAAAGAGTTACTAGCAAAAAGCAAGAAGGCTTTGAAGACAATTAGTCTTTAAAAGAGACTATTATTCCCAATATCTATTATTATTATTCTTTAACAAGAAGGGACATTTTGAAGAGGAATTTTGTGTTAGAACCTAGTGTTAGAACCTACATAGTGTTAGAACCTAGCCTGACACTGTGCTAGCTGTGTGATCATGGGCAAATGTTCCCACCTCTCTGAGCCTCCATGTTCTCATCTGAAAAAGGAGCCTGAAGACTACTCCTGCCCAGCCTGCCTACCTCCCAGTGTTGCAGTAAAAGTGAATAAGGGCAGGGAAGGACCTTAATGAGTATGTGCATTAATAAAGGTTTTCCAGAACCAACAGTGTATGGATATTTATGTTGAGATATTTATTTTAATGAATTGGCTCATGTGATTGTGGAGGCTGGCAAATCCAAAATTGGCAGGGTAGACTGGCAGGTGGGAGCGCCAGGAAGGAGTCTGCAGCAGAGCCCTCTCTTCCTTGAGGGGAGCTCAGTCTTTATTCTATTAAGGCCTTCAACTGCTGGAATGAGGCCCACCACTTACAG